TGAATCGAAAAGGGAAATTTACTATCCAGTCGTCGTAATCTGGAAGAAATTAAGAAAAGAATGGGAAGATGACTATAACTCGGCCAGCCAACCGCTAGCAGTCAGATATCTCCGAGGAAGAAAGATCAATTGCCCGCTGCGGATCAAAAGGGAAGAGGGAGAAATGATAGGTTGGACTTTTCTTCGTCAATAAGCAAAAATATGTTAGAGTTGTTCAATTCTTTCCCAACAAATCATTGCATCATGTAACTCCCGCATCCTATTCTCCTACAAAGAGAAAAAAAAAACTCAATATGCCTTACCATTTCCTTTCCTATATCTATATACAAAAAAGTAGAGAAGACAAATTCTAGAAACTCAAAATTTAAGCAAATAAGAAGAGAGCTTTATTATTTTTTTGTGGGGCTTGATCTAGTTTCTTTATTATCAATGTTGTGTTTTATTTTCAATGTTGTATGGGAAAAGGAATAGGAACAAACCAGAATGTTGCATTCATTTTTATTAACTGAATTTACTTTTTATTGATAATGATGACAATTTAAAGAGTAAGCAAAAAAGCACACCAATTAGACCTTGTCCAGCGTCGAAGGGTGAGAGCTAGCCATGTATCGATGTGGCACTAAATTAGTTTTAGATTCCTACAATATTAAGTAATGATTATTTAAGATTTCTTGGAATTTTTTTTATAAAATGTAATAACTCGTAGAAACATGGTGACATTTTACATACATTTGAATTCTTGAATGTATTGTAGACATATCTATTAATATCTAAGAATATGTATAACGATTTTATTTTAATTTTTAACCCTGATTAATACCTTTGAACTCGGCTCATCAACTGAAATATGAAAACGAAATTTTGTGACTAGGATAACTCGATCTAAATACAAATTTCTTACTGTTACAAACCAAAGGATTTCCATTTTGAGACTTCGATATTGAAAAAGTTTTTGTTATTGCCAAAATTTGGTATGAAGTCACAGACTCGCAACCATATAGCTGGGATTGTTTGTTTGATTAATTTGGAGCTATCGTGAACTTTGTCCAACCATTGCTTGCGTCATGTATTTAGAGGCAACAAATATGTGGGTCTCATGTATTTTAAGATTCCAAATTCGTGGGCCCCAAGGACTTGAAAATTTCACCTCTTTAGATGGAAATTAATCATGGACTTTGAAGTCTATTATTTATGACCAACCTACCCCTCATAATTCATTTCCCTTCTCATACCAATGAGGGTAATATATGTCATTTTCACTTCCAACATACAAATTCAATTAACCAAATGCATCATGAAATCTATGAAACAAAATATGGTATTTTCAAATCCATAATGAACCAAAAACCCTCATATATCCATGCTTTTACAAAATCCAAGTTTTATTAAAACTTTCAGTTTTCAAATCCACGAAGCAAATGACCCCAATATTTTATTACAATTGCCTTCCTAAACTCATCCTTATTAACGATTCTTTATTTTAACACAATACCTCAATTTAGATTCTTGTAGCTACAATTTTTTTTGTTTAGATATCTCAACTAACACACTTATGTTTATTTATTGTCTCAATCCTCGAATTTAGATTTGTCTACCAAGATATCAACTATTAAATAAATTTTTTCAACCCTTATTTGATCAATGCTAAGGTTAGTGGTTGATGAAACGTGATGTTTATCGTATATCCTCAACGAAGATTTTCTTAACCTTCACACTTGTTGTTTTTTAAGTGATGTTGTGTCTCATCCTAGGTATGAAGTCAAAACTCGTCAAAAATCATACTTAAGTTATTTTGAAAACTTTGATGTAATATTGTTCGACAATAACTCCAAATCTGAACAGAAATTACTTAGCATTCGACTTATGACCTCAATAGAGATCGTTCAATTAATATGATCTAGAGTGAATATTTTAATATAAATCCTAGGACAAATTATAAATTATTGCACACCTGATTACTCTTAATTTGAGAAACTGAAGGTAGAACATGAATATATGTTTTTACTTAATCATGATGAATAAGAAGTTTTTTAAAGAAAGAACTATTATTGCTTAGTCAAGTTTATATTCAGAACTTTTGCTATATAGGACTTTTTTTTTATTTGATAGAAATATATATTAGAAATAATTCGACGAAAAAAATACATTAGAAATAAGAGAGTTGTTAATAAAAAAAATCTAAACTCATATATATCATTTTCAAAGTCGATTGATAAAAATATTATTATATATGTGTACTTTTTAATCATTTGTTTTCAATGTTTCTATTGTAATATTTTTTTTAATTGATATAAATATTATTAAATGTGTGTACTTTTTTAATAATTTGTTTTCAATATTTCTATTTAATATTTTGTTTAATTGATATAAATATTATTATATATGTGTACTTTTTTAAGTTTTCTCAAAATGTAACTTATTATTAAGTTTTGGTGAAAATGAGTAAGAAAATTTACTTGATAAGATTTAATCATATACTTTTTATTTAAACAAATTCGATATAGACACTCTCTATTTCCATCTTTATATTTTTTTAATTGACATAAATATTATACTTTTGTGTGTTTGTTTACATTTTCATAAAAAGGTCATTTATTATTAATTTTTAGTAAAAATGAGTAGAAATATTAAAAAAAAAGAGATAACTCCATAAATAGATCAATAATAAATTTTTTTTTTGCAAAAAAAAGTTGTTCACCTTGGCAATTTGTGAATTCTCCAAGTGCTTATGTGGCAAGAAGTTACTTTTGAATTGCCATAATATATAGTATAGATAGATAGATATAGATAGATAGATAGATAGATGTGGAGAGACGCTATGCCCTTTGTCATCGAAAACTATATCGGTTCCTTATTTATCTCTTTGTTGGAACCTTTATGACAGAGACCATGAAGATCCCGACATCTCTCAAATGATCAGCAAGTTGCCAGAAACCACATGCACCAGATCCTGTTAGGCGATGAGAGCTCCTGCAACGCATCCTGCCTACAATGGAAGCTTTGCGTCTATGAAAGGTGACGGTCCTTTCTCGTTGTTCGGTCTACTAGGCTGAGGAGGAAAATACTAAACATATGTTTTTACAGTGTTTGGTGGCTAAGGCCTTATGGGTTGAGGCAGGTTTGTCGATGGAATTGGAATCCCTGAACCAGGATTGTTTCAATGTCTTTTTGTTTCAATGTCTTTTTTCCGACGGCACTGGGAGAGGGAATCATCGGATCCACTTGTGGTGAGACTGCTATGCCTTTTGTGGCAGGTGTGGAAGGCTAGGAATATTGTAGTATTTGAGGGTGAGCAGGTTCCCCCTATTATTTTGAGGAGGGAGTTTTTTCACCAGGTAAGTGAATGGTTGTAGGTCCTAACGAGGGAAGTTACTAGTCAGGGGGCGCGAGGTATTAAATACGGATGGCCAACAGCTAGACAATGTTGTTCCTTCGATGGGCGCGGTGTGTGGTTCTAATGAGACTGTTTGTGTTGGGTCTCATACGATAGGTGGGTTGGTCTTCAGGAGTCATCTGGGATGGTGGTGAGGGCTAAAGAGGTGATTTATAATGGCATGTTGAATCCGATGTTAGTAGAGCTAATGGCGCTTCGTGATGCAATCAGATGGTGTAAGCTGGCAGGATTGGATATGTCATCTTTGAAGGTGATGTAAAGGTCATTATTGATAAGGTGAATTGATAGGATATCCAAGATGCAATTGTAGGTGCTATTCTTGAAGAGGTTCAACATCTGCTTTCTACTTCGCTGAGATTTCATATTAAATTTATAGGCAAGCAAAACAATATGGTACCTCATATGGTGGCTAGAAAGACCCTGTCTTTGTTTCTTGCAAGATGTAATAGTTTTGATTTTCGTGCTTGGCTCTGGTCGGAGACTGCAAATTTTTAACTTTGTGTGCTTGATTAATGCAAGTGAGCTTCTCGTAAAATAAAAAAAAATAATATGTTGATTTGGAGGCTAGATGAGTCACTATATGTGTCTATTTATAATGTTCTTATTTATGAGGTTCGTTGATGGCTTTTCTAATAGCTTAACACCGGTTAAACTAATAAAGTGTGATTCGTTTGTTGTATCGGTTTATGCTCCCATTTGGTTATGAAAACATTGGTTATTTCCTCTGTTTCAGAATCAGACTGGAGGCTGAACTATAAAAGTTAGTTGTTTAGGGTTCAGTGATTAACCGTTACAAAACCGCTGGTTAACCGTTCATGATATATAACATACAAGACTTGTGTATTATATTAATTTAAGAATAAAGTTATCATTTACCATAAACAATTTCAATTTCATATTATAACCCAAATATCTAATAAATCATTCAAACCGTCTCACAAAAGAAATCATAATTTTTTTAATTCAAATTAAAAATTATGATGCCAGCCGGTGATGGACCATGGAAAGTCGACAACAAAGTTAGAAAATGAGAAGTGGAAGTAGTTATAAAATTAATAATGACGATTTGACTGTCTTAGTTTATATTAAAGTATTTTCTAAAAAACATTGTGGTTAAATAGTGAACCAGTGGACCAATTAAACCGTGGTGGTTCATCTGATTTTATGTTAAATCGTAAAAAACCGTTTGATTCACCAATAATCATTCAAACAATGAACTAGACCGCTATCGTAATTGGTTTGACGGTTCTACGGACCCAGCCGTTGATAGGTACTTGTAGGGACTAGGGAAACAAATTAAATGCAATGTTTTTGTCTCGGGTCGGGTTAGCTCGTGCATCATTCCGTGGTCCGTGGTCGAGCCTGTAGTCGGATTCGACGCACGATCGGCGATTGGAAACAAAGGGTAAATTCTCGGCTGCCGTTTTGTCTTCGCTATCTTCCCTCTCTCGACGCTGGAACTTTCTGGAGTTGCTTTGAAATTTGATGGATGCAGACTTGCTGAGTAGGCCTGACTGGTTTGCTGCGCGGGGACTGTAAATTTGGCAGAGATTGTGTCCGGGATATCAGCTTCCTTTGTTTGGATCCAAGAGAGCTGCGGCAGACAATGGCGGTCTTGATTGATGTGACCAAATCATGCCTTGATTCCATCACCCAGGTAAGTGCGTTTACTATTGCACATTCCTTTCTTTCGCCCGTGAAGTTCAGGAGTGAAAGTAAGCTGCAATTGCTTATCATCGATTGTTGGCTTTGTTAAAGGATGGAGCTGCAATCGTATTGCCGCCATGGCTGTGAATTAAATGGAAATCATCCTAGTGCTTCGTATGTTTATCATAGACTAGGTCACCAAAAGAAAACTATTCGACATGCCATTAAAAAGAGATAAAAGCGGCAACCATTTGATCTGCTAGTACGGAAATTGATTATCACCTAGCTCTTACCCGTGTTAGCTTTTGAGGACGGATATCGGAGTGTTACTTCTGCAATGATCATTAATTATGCAGGATGTGGTTGAAGATTGCTTCCAAGAAAAAGTTGCTTTGAAGATTCTATGCAATGTTATAGCTATGAGATTAGGTGATTTTTTTGGATTGTTTATGCAAGATGTAAATCTGATGCAGTGCTGTGATGATCAATGTTCTTCATAGCTATGCACACTACCTTAACAGTACAGTAATCTATCTATACGCCCTCCATGGAATGCTTTCTCTGATGACATTTCCACTTCACTAGCCCACTTTCTTAATGGACTAGGGAAATAGGGTATGTCCTTAGACATCAAATCAGGACTTCATCATTTCTCTTTGCTTAATTCCTTTTTCTCTCTCCTGTGTCTCAAGATGGCTGAACATTTGGAGGGTGCCATTATTTATCTGGATTCCGGATGCACAGAGAGCTTTCAATTTGCTGGTGCATTTCCTGTGTTTCTAGACCTTGGAGTTCGAGCTGTATGCAGCCTTGAAAATATGTCTTCTCTTGATGCGGTGAGTTCATGATATCTGGGTTTCCCATATTCATCTTAATGCTTCCTCTTGTCTGTACCTGCTAAGCATTTACATATTTATTGGCTTTATAAGGAACAGGGAGGCATGACTTGAAATTCTGGATGTTTGAACATCTATATTTTTTCATGGGATGAATATCTGTATTTGTGCACAAATATGAACACATAATAGTTATCTATATGTCTCTCTCTATATATATACGCCATCACATAAGTAGGCATGCTCGCTTGTGCATAAAATGTTAATTATTGCATGTTGGGTATAATGTCATTTAGGAATGTCAAGAGGATTCTTCTATAAGTAAAATAATGGATATAAGCATTGTTATCTCTTAAAGAACAACTGTAGATGCTTCTTGTGTCGATAGTTATTGGCCCATTTTGATGACTGTGTTAATACAAGCACCCAAAAAGCAAGGAACTTGAAATTTTATGTGGGATTCATATGTTGTGGCGCTTTTTCATCTTTTATGCTATCTGTATGTCTCAGCCTTACAATTTTCGTGTCTTCTATGGTTTACCTCATGTTTGATCTGAGCCTGAGAATTGATTATTTATGTAGTTTCTCTCTCTAGGTGGTTAGTTGGAACTCGAATGATGATGTTGCAACGAAGATTGTGGTTTTCACATCTCGCTTCCTCAGCGATGCACATCGGTATATTTTACGTTGCCTGAGCATCCATGAGAGTGTTCAGAAGTGTACAATCTGTACTTCTATACCAGAGGTACTTATCGCTGTTACCTTCTGGTACTTATGAATTGCTTCCTCTTTTCATATGCAAATGTGGCCTGTACCTATATTCTAATTGATGTTACTGTCTGATACTTATGGACTTGTGGCCTATACCTTTTTCTCTCTTTTTCAATGGACCTGGAATTGGTATGAGACATATCTTATGCTACATCAGAGAATGGATAATTTTGTTGCAATACTAAGAAGGAGTTTCCAACAATGAGGTTAATTTTGCGACTCCGATGCACAGGAGTTTTGATGTATCTGTGTGTAAATATATACAACATGTGCTACTGGATACCGGACAACATTCAGAAAAGAGCTAAATTTTTTCGTTACTTAGCCAAAGTTTAGGTTCTTAATGCGAATATGAGGGGAGTATTGAAAGAGACTTGCATACATCCTCAAGGAAAAATCCTGCTCATAACTGTAGCATTATGGGTGATGAATATGCTAGTATGATCATATTGTATACAGGTGTAATAAAATACATTACTGAATCGAACCTGTAAAGAATTATACAATGGTTTGCTAGTTTTAAGGAATGGTTTACCCTAGATGAAGAGGGAAACAGATTACAGTTATGCAATCACTTAATTCTTGTGGGGTAAAGATAATTTGGTCAGGTTGGGGCTACCCCAGGAGCAGATTAGAATCTCATTCAAGCATGCTTCATCTACAAATTCTTATTGTTGGAAACTTTAAGTTAAGGATGCTTTGTTTGTTTGAATGCCAGGGTGGATATGAGTATGGTGACCAAAATTTGAGTCTTGCCTTACTAAGTTCTGGAATTTATAGGACTTTTCTGGTGGATAACCTATGGCATAAACTGTGTATTATTCAGCCTTTGGATTCCGTTGTAATTTAGTTTCTTAAACTGACACTGTTGACTTTTGTGTGGATTAAGAACTACTTTGCTCAATACACCATATGGAGCAACATACTGTATAAATGCCCTTTTCCTCAAACGCCTCACTTTTTTTTGCGTAGAACTTTATGCTTGAAAGTTTTTGCAATTGTAGACATCTCACTCAGCATATCCAGATTCACCGCTGGGACCGGATGCTTATCATGAGTATGAATCCTTGCTTCTTCAAGATTTTGAGGAGCTTGTGAAGAAAGGTGGAAAGAAGTACGAACATTCAGAAGGTGTGAAACTCCAGGAAAGTTTAAGCTTTGAGAATGAGGGATGGGCGCAACTCTCATTCAATGAAGAGGATGCTATGCATCTTGATAAAAGTTCAATCGGAAAAGAGATTGGAAGTATAGGCCCGAGATTGGTTGTCTTTGTACATCACTTCCCCATGCTTTTGTGTCCTTTATCTCGTAGAGTCTTTGTCCTGCCATCTGAGGGATCAGTTGCCGAAGCTTCTTTATCAGCTGAACATGAAGATTCTCTAAGTCCTGGACTACCACCCATCAGTACTGGCGCGCTTGCCAATAGCGATGATGTTCCCCCAGGAGCACTTCTTACTGCGCATTTCCTTTACCATTTAGCTGCAAAGGTGCGACTAGCATGATTAAATAATCTTTTTTGTGTAATCTTTTCCTGTTTGTTTTCTGCTTAGCTTTCCTGTTTATTAAAGTTATCTGATTTCATTGCCCTTATTTTATTTTATTTTACCCTAATGTGTGACGGTTTTTGTGTGATTTTGAATAATATTGGTAGTTGGAAGCATCTGGACACAAGCTTCATACTGCTGCATTATTAGAACTTGTGTCAGGGGTGGTGCAAATTATGAAAATACCCGACAAACAAGCAGTGCTTGTTGGCCATTTAACTTTATCTAGCTTGATTATCTGTGAAAGTTTGTTGCCTTTGTACTGTACATTTACCATACTTTCTTTTGTGTAGATGGATCTAAAACTGGATATTTTTTCCATGGGCGATTTGTCACAAACAGTAGGCAAGATTATGACGGACATGTCAAGTCTTTATGATGTAGGCCGCGGGAAACGTCCAGCAGGGTTATTGATAATTGATCGAACGCTTGATCTCCTTACTCCGTGCTTCCATGGGGACTCACTTGTTGACCGGATGTTCTCAGCTTTACCCCGTAGGGCAGGAGTATCTCATTCTCACATGAGAGACTCAGAGAGCCAGCTCAAACTTCATTCTCCAATCCTACAACGTGCTCCTCTTGATGTGAAGATACCACTCACAGAAATATTAGATGTAGAAATTAGGGATTTTCAGCTCATAGAAAGAATTGAAGCTTTCTTAGATGGCTGGGATATCCACAAATCTACTCCTCCAATTGCTGATGTGGGTAATATCTGCAGTAAACTTCGGGATGAAAAATCTGTTTCTTGTGTGAGTCAAGTGCTTAATGGATCCGTTGTCTCTACTGAAAGTTTTCTTGGCACGGCATTTATGGAGGCCATACTAGATAGAAGAACAAAAGATGGAGCATTGTTGGTGACAAGGTGGCTGCAACAAACCCTGCGTCGTGAAAAAATAGACGTAGGTTCTACAACTCGTTCCAGCTTTGTTTCATCTGAGGTCCGGTCCATGATGAAAGCACTGGCAAAAAGCCAATCTGCAATTGTGAGAAACAAAGGACTTATTCTGTTGGCAGCTGCTGCAACTGCTGCCTTTGAAGAGTCGTTTTCTACTAGATGGGATGCATTTATCAGTGCAGAGAAAGTACTAACTGCAAGCGCTGAAGACACAAGTCAGAACCTGGCTGCTCAAATCGTTGATCTTATTAACAAGAGTGGCTTAGTTGAGGCGAGTGATCCGAAGAAGAGAGAAATGCAATCCTCACAAGGATTAATTTCTTTTCAAGATGCTTTACTGCTCATGATTGTTGGATACATGTTGGCTGGCGAGAATTTCCCTACATCTGGGTCTGGGGGTCCCTTTTCTTGGCAAGAGGAGCACTTCCTGAAAGAAGCTGTTGTGGATGTGATTCTTGAGAAGGCACCAGTTTCAAAGATAAAGTTCCTCGGTGCTCTGAAGGACGAGCTCAAGGCCAACGTTGGCAGAAAAAGATGCGGTGATGCTGCTGAATCATCAGAAGATCAGTTAGACATTGATGATTTGGATGATGACCAATGGGGTAAGTGGGGCGATGAGGAAGAAGCAGCCGCTGACAATAATAATAAACAACAGTTGTACGACGACATGCAGCTGAAGCTGGAGTTGCGTGATAAGGTGGACACCTTTTTTAAGTTCCTTCACAAGTTATCCATGCTGAGGAGTGTTCCATTGAAGGATGATGCATTCTCTGGAGGAAGTGATTTTGGCGGTGAGATGGATGTGAACAAAGGGTTATTATCCAAGCTTCTAACTAGCGTGTTGAAAAAGGCAGATATCCCACGAATGGAGTATCATTCCTCCACTGTCGGTCGACTGTTCAAGAGTAGCTTTGGAAGATTTGTTGGGCAGGCAAGTCTTTCACAAACCATAACCATTGACATATTAGAACAAAGAGATCACCCAAATGCCAAGTATTACTGACCAATCACTGAATTCTGGGTGTTGCAGGCAAAACCAATCCTAGGTGAGCACAAGGTCATCATGGTCTTTGTCGTTGGGGGCATCAATGGTGTTGAGGTATTTACCTATTTCTGATTGCTTCCTTTAACACAATGGTTCCTAGCTTTCGATTTTCTACTGGGTGATGCGTCTACAGACCATAATTTGCTCGCATTCACACCATTTCATTTGTGGCTTCTTGCCCGATACAGAGTATTGTGACAATGTGTTTTCTTTATCTGTTATGTTAGGTCCTGGAGGCTCAGGAGTCATTGTCCAAAAGTGAAAGGACAGATGTACAACTCATTCTTGGTGGAACGACGATCTTAACGCCGGATGATATGTTTGATTTACTGATCGGAGAATCCAGTTACTTTTGAATCTGTCGCAAACGTGGTTCCCATGTCTATTTCAGCTAGTCTCTCGTTTCATTTTGCTAACACAAACGAAGACGACTTGCTCTCTAACTGCTAAAAGTAGCCAAATTGCGCGCAGCAATGCCGTGGGAATACTGTTGGTGCTATAGTGATAAAGATTTAACCGCTAAATGTTTAGCAGCATCCATGCATTGATGTTGTCGGTTCTGATGAGTATTATGGGTTTTGATGTTTGGAATTGCTTGACAGTAAAGAACAAAATAAGTCTGTCTATTTTTGTATTTTTGTTACAAAATAGCTACTCCAGAATACACAACAAAGATAACAAGAAGAGTAACGTACTCTTGTAATTTGGACTGCAAATGGTGGGTGATAATTTCAGAATATATGAGCTATTTGGTCTTTGTTGGTGGGTCCTATCCTCCTCTATGAGTCTCCATTTTATAGACAGAACCACTTCATGGATGCAATTAGTATCATAAATGTGACAATGAGGTAACAGTTGGGGAAGGATTGGTGGCTAAAGGACATTAACACACATACATATATGTTCTACAACACTCTCCTTTTATTGTCTATGATTCAAAAAGTTACAGTCTAATATGCTTTTAGATCGGCCTCATTAAAAACCTTGTTAGGAAAATTCAGTGGGATAAAATCGTGATTAAGGAAAAAAGAGTACAGTGCATATTTGCTCCCCCTTTCCTTGAAATCATTGAAGATCTTTGAGTTGTCAAACACTATTTTGAAAACTAGCTCTTAAATGTTGAAGTAGTAAGTGACTTTGTGAACAAATCTACAAGATTATTACATGAATGAATCTGGAATACATTTATTTCACCATTCTTCTAAAGATCATGATCGAGGAAAAGTTTTGGCGAAATATGTTTTGTTCTGTCCCCTTTGATACGTCCTTCTTTCAGTTGTGCGATACATGCCACATTATCCTCATACATAACAATCGAAATCATCTTTTAAGGAGAAAAATCGCAAGTCTCTTTGATGTTTTCAATTATGGATCTCAAGCAAACACATTCGCGACTTGCCTCGTGTATTGCTAAAATTTCTGCATGATTAGAAGTGGCTGTTATAGTTTGTTTTGTGGATCTACATGAAATGAGTGCATTTCCACATGTAAACAATTAACTAGTTTGTGATCGACCATTATATGGACCGGACAGATATCCAGCATCTGGTATGCCACTCAGTCATCTATGGGTAATTTTGAATAGAACCAATCCATATCCATTGTTCCTCGAGATACCACAGTAAATGTTTTATGCCATTCCAATGTCTTCGAGTAGGGGAAGAACAAAATCTTGCTAATAAGTTAACAACAAATTATATGACTGGTCTTGTATGATTTGTAAGATACATTAGTGCTCCAATAGTACCGAGATATGGTACTTCTGGACCATTATTGTAACATCTCGGACCTTTTCCCGACAAAGATATTGTCTGCTTTGGGCCTTAACCCTCACGGTTTTTGACTTGGGGTGCAATTCAAGGTGACTTCCCATAAGGTCACCAATCCTTGTTGCACTCCACACTGAGCACGTTTAACTTCGGAGTTCTCACAAGAACTCCTTCATTTCACCCCAAAACGCGTCTTGTCAGTTAAGGCCGGTTTCCTACTTATGAACTTTGGATCTCTCCCGTGCTTTGTCGATGTGGGATTCGCCTAAGGTGTTACATACCCCCCCCCCCCCTTGGGACTCAACGCCCTCGTTGAGGTTTGCCCCACCATCGTTCAAGAGGGACGCATAGAGGCCTGATACCACTTATAACATCCCAGACCTTTTCCCGACGAAGATATTGTCCGCTTTGGGCCTTAACCCTCACGGTTTTTGACTTGGGGGTGCAATTCAAGGTGACTTCCCATAAGGTCACCCATCCTTGTTGTACTCCACACTGAGCACGTTTAACTTCGGAGTTCTCACAAGAACTCCTTCATTTCACCCCAAAACGCGTCTTGTCAGTTAAGGTCGGTTTCCTACTTATGAACCATGGATCTCTCCCGTGCTTTGTCGATGTGGGATTCGCCCAAGGTGTTACAATTATCTTCTCATTAGCTTCTCGAGGCCTAAATTGATCCTTTTTCACATTGAGTAATTTCATGATCATAGTGTGCTTAATGGATGTGGTTTATTCATATAGAATCGTTTTGGTACTTTTGTTAGATGCCCTTCTTGATGTATGTATATTCCATTGCTCAGGTGTTCCATTTTCAATCCAAGTCAAAACTTTGTTTTTACTAGATACTTCATTTCAAACTCTTTCTTATGAGTTCCAGTAAATCAATCCCCTCTCTCTTCTCTTTTTTAGCTCTGACTTCTCTTTAGAACTTCCTATCTGTCAGCAATGTTTCCTTTCCCAGCTTTCCTGGATGAATAGTATCCTCTGTTAGTAAGATGATTAGCCTCCTTCTTGGCAACAGATAATGAAGATGAATTGCAGAACCTACCAACATTTACTACAGCACAAGTACAAGCACTTGGTCAACCTATTACATCTCAACTACAAGCATCCTGTGTATATGTTGCAGCTCAACTACAAACATCCCATCTACTTAATTCACCACAACAAGAATCATTTATCAGCTAGCGAAGGGAAGTACGAAGTGAAGATTCAGTCTCGGATACGAAAGAAGAAACAACTAAGGACTTTGAGAGAAAAGAGAGCGTTGGAGTGGGTAGATTTAAGTCTATTCAAGCCACCATTAAGACAACTCAAGGACTGCAGTGAGCCCCAAAATCCTCCTGCAAGAATTAAAGGGGTGGTTCAACACACAACATTTAATCGTCGTCAAATCATAAACTCTGATAGCATTAATGGAGAAGCCAGAACAAGAGGGAATGAACAACTTATAAGGCAGAAGGATGCCAACAAGCAGAGACAACATCATTCAACTTTCCAAAAAAAAAACTAAGCATGAGAAAACTTTCCTCCCCAAATACTAGTGATCACGAAAGACTACCACACAAGATGAATGTCAATGCCCTGATCAACCAAGCCGGGGAATGGGACTTTGAAATGGCTCCTGATGAAAGCTTGATTGCTACTAGAAATACCCTTATCGGTAAGCTTCTATCTGAAAGGCAAGTCAGCGAACGGATCATGAGATGAATCATCCGATCAGCTTGAGTGGAGAATTACAAACCGAGAACACAGGAGATGCCCAGAATCAAGTAGGTTGATGTGAATACCTTTGTGATTGATTTCCAAACAAAAAAGGAGATGGAGGCTATATGGAAAGAACGCCCTTGTCCGATGTCAGGCACGCTGCTGCAGCTGAAGAGGTGGACAGGGAGTTACACCCAAATGAGATCAACTTCGAGGAAGCAGATTTCTGGATGCAAATCTACAATCTCCCAGAAGCATATCGAAAAGAAGGCAACATTAGCATGGTTCAAAACATGTTTAATCGCATCATCGATCTGGATAGGGCAGCGCTCCAAGCTCAAATCTATCGGAAGTATGTGCGGGTCTTTGTGGAAGTGGATATCTATAAATCCCTTCCAGAGGGGTTCTATCTGCGATATCAACAAAAGAGGACATGGATTGAGTTCAAGTATGAAAAACTCACAAGCTTGTGCTACATCTGCGGTAAGATCGACCACTCAAAACAAGAATGCAGCTAGAGGGATCAAACACCATATATTATTCAGAGATGGGGGTCATGGATTCGCGCAAGCTCGAGTGTGATTTCTCCAAGATCGGCACAACAACAGGAAGTAGAAGCCAGCCTGAATCGAGACGCCGCTTCAGCATCCAACGCTGCAGGCGGCCAGCTCTTCCAATCTCCGCCGTCTAACGGGTCACCGGCGAATCAAAATGTCGACAACAGTGCCTTCAGGATGTTGGGATTCCCACACCAACAAATCCAGACTCCGAGGTCGGTGTCAGCTCAAAATTTCCCACTCACAATGGCTCTCTCGTCTCCCTATTTCCATATCTCACCCCCATCAACATCCCCCATCAGCTTTTTGGAGAAACTGATCTTCTCGTTAACCCCCAACCCCTCTTTGCTAACCAGGAATTGGCGTACCCCACCTTGGGCTTAGGAAACCCTGGCCCATCTCCTGCCCAAGCCCACCCTTCGGGTAACCCATACCCTTTATCATACCAAGCTCAATCCAACTACTTCTTCAACCATCATTTTTACCAGGCTGGCCCAAGTAACATTGTAAAACCAACTAGATCAGCCGCTTGGAATGAGAATTGTAACAGGAAGAAGAGCCACAGCCCAAACATTCCTAAGAAGAAGAGGAAGGCGGGCTCTTACTTTGAATTGGAAACTGGAGAAGCAGAGGAACAAGCTCTGCTACTTCAATCCCTTGAGTCCCCAAATGAAATGCTTGTCATTTGCAGTGGACAAGAAGAGGAAGAAAATGAAGAAATCCCTCCTGGTTTCGGACCATGTTCTTCTGTGAATATGGTGGCCGAGTCCAAGCCACCAAAAGGTCCAGGAACACAATCGCGTGGAACTACAGGGGATTCGGCCAAGCCCCTACAGTTTGACAATTACGAAAGATGGTTAATCCGTTCAGACCATCTATCGTGTTCTTGTCTGAGACTAAAAAGAAGGACTCTTATATGGAGAAGAAAAGAAGAAGACTGAGATATGCGGAGTATCACTATGTGTCACCCATTGGTAGAGCGGACGGACTCGCTTTATGGTGGGAAGGAAGCCTCGATCTTCAGATTTTGGGTAGGCATCATTTTTTTATTGATGCTTTTACTAATGTTGATGGTGGCTTTTTCATTACTCTTGTTCACGCCCCGTCAGTTCCAGCGGAACATAGAATTTTCTGGGATTGTATTAGCAACCTTAGGGGTGATGTAGAGGATAGATGGGTTGTTATAGGGGATATGAATGTTGTTTTGTTTGATGAGGAGAAGAAGGGTGGCGGGAGACCCAGAACCGACTTTGTCATCCCCTTCATAAGTTTTATTAATGATAATGGTATACTTGATTTGGGTTATACAGGGCATGCCTTTAC